GGTAGCGACCTTCTCACAGGGCATCCTCGCTGACATGAACTCTACGGGTCTATAGCCATTGCCGTCGTCTTGCTGCAACACGGCGCCTATCCCATACTGACTCGCGTCCGTGGTGACGACAAATGGCAAAGACGGATCTGCAACTTTGAGGACAGGATATTCTATTAACGCGCGCTTTAGCTTCTTGAGCGCAGACGTACAGTCTTTGTCCCATTGCCAGTTTGCCTCTTTCTTCAGCAACCTGCGCAAGGGAGCGGCGATAGTAGAGAAGTTCCTTACGAACTTCCTATAGTAGTTAGCTAAGCCTAGGAACGACCGCAACTATGTCAATGTGCGGGGCATCGGCCAATCTCTGATCGCCGCGATCTTGCTGTCCTCTGGCTTAATGCCATCTCCATCCAACACGTGGCCCAGGTATAAGACTTGCGTCTTGGCCCACTCGCACTTCTTCGCGTTGATCTTGAAGTTAGCCTCTCTAAGCTTCTCCAAGACCTGCCTTAGATGACCCTGGTGCTCCTGGAGGGTCTTACTAAAGACTAGGATATCATCTAAGTAGACTAATACAAATTTATCTAACCATGGTCTAAACAGGTCATTCATACAACGCTGAAAAGTAGCTGGCGCGTTGGTTAGCCCAAAAGGCATCACTATAAACTTATAATGCCCATATTAAGTCCGGAACGCAGTCTTGTACTGATCATCAAGATGAACCTCTATCTGATGGTATCCGGACTTTAAGTCTATCTTAGAGAAATACTTACAACTCTGCACCCGATCTAAAAGATCGTCTATCCTGGGCAGCGGCTCAGCATTCTTCACGGTGATCGCATTTAATCCCCTATAGTCTATACACATTCTCAGCTCTCCTTCCTTCTTGGGGACAAACAAAACGGGTGCTCCAAAAGGAGACGAACTGGGCCTGATCCACCCTTTCTCAAGGAGTTCGTCTAACTGCTTGCGAAGCTCCTCTAACTCTCTAGGGGACATCATGTAGACTGCACCCTTAGGTGTTCTACTGCCAGGCTCTATCTCTATCCTATGATGGATGGGTCGCGGCACTACTCCTGTCAGCGACTCAGTCAAATCTTTGAACTCCTCCAGCAGCTTGGAAATTGTTGGGTCTGTGGAGTTATCCTTCTTCTGCCCCTCAGTGACAGCTCTAACATACACCACAAAGACTTGTTCCTCTAACTGCTCCTTTCTTACTAATCGCGCGAACGCGGGAGCACTGAGACAGCAATGCGCCAAGGTGTTATCTACACCGGACGCATGGAACAGGCGAGCAGTCTTCACTTCGCCTGACGAACCAGGGAGCCTACACTCATGCTCTCTCAAATGGAGTGTGGCCTCCGCTGCCTCTCCCCAATCCATTCCTAACACTACATCGAAAGGAAGGTCAAGGAGAGTCAGGGAATGGAGAACTTTCTCCACCTTCCCATCCTTCTCTAGGCGAAAGTACGCCTGGACTCCCTCTACATAGTCCTCAACGCGCATTGTGCGGTTGTCTGCGAGAACACTGACCATAGGGCCTATTAACTTTTGGACCTTTAGTCCTAGCCTCAGCTTCTTCAGCGCCCTACGGCTGATATAACTACGGGTAGCCCCTGAGTCTATAAGGGCCCCTACCCTACTCCTAAACACCTCTACATCTACCAAAATCAGTTGTCCTTTACTCTCCTTCTTCATTTTGGCCCAGGCTGGCATCCTCTCCTTTAATTCTTCTGCCACACCTGTGAGGGACGTGCCTAAAGAGACGCTTACACAGGCGGTCTCTC